CGAGCCCCCCGCCGCCCCGGGCCCGGCCGGCCTACCCGAGTGCTGCCTCAGGGCATCCTTGATGGTGATGAAGTTCTTGAGGGACTTGGACATTTTGCAGCCGGCGATCGTCAGGTGGCCCGTGTGCAGGAAGTACCGCACCCAGCAGTCGTTTTCGAAGTGGGCCTGCGCAGGGACGGGAGCAGGCGCTGGGCAAAGGCCGCTGCCGGCAGGGCGGGGCGGCCGCGACGTGAGCCGGGCCTCCTGTGTTCGCGCCGCGTGAGCGGGACAGGGGGCCGCCTTTTCTAGGTGGGCAGCTGGGGCTCAGAGGGACCACCCGTGGTGGAGAAGCCGGGAGACAGCAAGTGGTTCGAATCTAGGCCTGTCTGTTGCCCAAGGCCCGGCTGGTGACGTGGGAAAACAGCCCAAATATTAGGGCGCAGTTTCCCACTGAAGGACCCGGCGTGGAAGCCAGGCGCCGTTCACACAGCCCCTCCCCGACAGCCCGACGCTTCCCCACCGCGGCGCCCTCCTGGACACGCCTACCTCCGACTGTGCCAGCTCGTTGTCGTGGTGGGGGAACCGGAGGTCGAAGCCACCTCCGTGGATGTCCATCGAGGCTCCCAGGAGGGTGCCTGCCATGGCGGAGCATTCGATGTGCCATCCCGGGCGCCCCTGGGGATCACACCACCCAGTGACCAGCCGGCCTAGCCTCAGGCCTTCACTTGCCCCAATGCTCTGACCCTCAGAACCTGAGCTTTCCTGGAACAGGTGCTTGTCGCACCTGGAAAGCGAAAGGGGCCTGTCTGCACAGTGCCCACGGCACCGAGCCGAGGCTGCGTCACTCCCAGGCTCCCAGCTCTCGGCCAACACCCCTCCCCGCGGCTCCGGCGGTCAGGACTGTCGTCACAGGTACTGTCAGAGGGAGGACTGGCCCCAGGGGCCTGCAATACTCCGAGTCAAAGCCCATCGGGGTGCAGGGGCCTCCGAAGGGTCCAGCAACCCCCGCCCCAGCTGCAAGTCAGGCAGCCCAGAGGTAGGAAGGGGAGTGACCTGCTGACAGGCCCACGAGGCTCGGTGGCACCCAGGCCCGGGGATGGGCTGCTGTGTCCTGCACTAGCCAAGGGCCCTGCCCCACCGCCCTGCTCGCGTCATTTTGGGTGCTCACCTTTCCCCACGGGGACGGCCAGGATGGCTCTCCCGGCTTGGAGGCCTTCCACAGGGCGAAGTCGTTGGGGGACCGCTTCTCGCTCAGGCGGTCGGCCGAGACGCTCAGGTCGCCTGTGCAGATAGGAGGGAGGGTCGCTCAGTGCGGCCTGGACGCACAGAGAACCCCTGTGGTGACCGGGTAAGAGCTGGGTGGACCGGGCAGAGCAACGGCCCTGAGCCCGCACCGAGGCCCCCAAGGGTCTGGCCAGGCCCCCCTCCTGGGTGCTATCACCCCCTCGGGGAAACCCTGGAACAGGAGGGACATTCTTAGTGCCCAGGCTGCAGACGCAGCGCGACCTCCCAGACGTCGCTGTCAGACTATCAGGAACGTAGGCTGGCCGCCCCGAGAACCAGCCGAGGGGGAGCCGGACCGAAGGTGCTTCGCGGACTCCGTGACCGTAAGACACGCGGTAAACGCCGGGTACTCGGACACCACGGGAAAGAACCGGGGAACACGGCGCAGCCATAGCGCAGGGCTAACGGCTGCTCCCCCTCGATGTACTGACTTGCAGGCTCGTGTTTCTGAATCTACACAAGCACAACACCGCACACCCGGCACAGGGACGCTCTCCTCTCCAGGCTCCCGTCTTCTCACCGAGAGCGTCCCACCAGAAATTACCCAAAACATCGGACGCGGCGCCGTGGCTCTCGGCCCCGGTGACGCATTACGCACACTTAGGTTTGGGACTTCACTCGTGAGCGTTCCTGACGTTTAAAAACTTACTTTGAAAAATTCTGTAACAGACAGAAAGGATCCCGCCCTTCACACCCCGCCCCCTTTCACCAAATGTCACGGTCCGGTGACACTATTATTTGCCGGAGACTTTTAAAGTAAGAGAAGTCAGTCACACAGCCCTTCCCTCTCCCTCCGGGGGTCACTTCTGGTCTCCCTCCCGGAGGGAGGTGCTGGGTGGCCCGAGTGTCGGGAGGGTCTGTCCATCACTGTCACCCTAGGGCCCTCGTGTGCTCGGCAGGGCAGGCCGGCGGCCCCAGTATTCAGATGGGCTCCCTCGCAGGGAGGTGACGTGGCGAGGGGACCGCTGCGCGAAGGGGAGATGTCCCCAGGGGAGGGCGCGTCCCCCTTTGTCCCGTGTGCTGCTGGATTCCTCTCCTCTCGCCCCTGGGACGGAAGCAGGCTCTGCAGTCGGCCTGGGGGACGACAGGCCCGAGAGCGAGGGCTGTTTAGCGGGAGCGGCCACGGGCGCCCGACGGCGAGACCTGCCCTCAGCCCCGAGGCCGGCGGCCCCGGAAGGCTCCTTGTCCGTGTGACCTGGAGTCGGGGTCGCGCACCCCTGGGCCCTCCTCAGGCTTCGCCCCACTTCTCCTGCCGCTGCCTCTCGAGGGCGGTGCGGCCGCTCAGTTTCCCTCTCTCCGGGAAAGCCGTTCCAACCTTTCTCGTCTCGCGGCACGTACACCAAATACTAAAACCCTGCAGCACAAAAACACACGTTTTATGCTTTTGCTGACCTGACGGGACAAATCGGCGTAATTCTGGCTCATCCCCACGGGACAGCACTGCCGGCTGCTGTCCTTCTGTCATCCGCCAGCCTCGGGGACGGGCCAGTGGCCCTGCCGGGACGGTCGGGCGAGGGGGCGCAGGTTCCCGCGCCCCGGCGGCTCCCACGGCCGGCTGCCTGTCCTCGGGCGTCGGGAGCTGCTCTTCTGCCACCCGGTCTTGGGGGGGGGTCCCCCACCTGCCCGCTGCTGCCGTGGCCGCTTCCTTCCCTCTCTCCGCTTGGTCTGCCCTTCCCCTCGCTTCGCGCCGCGCAGTGTGGGCCCGGCCTGTCCCCACCTCCTGCGGCGGCTCAGCACGGGTCCCGCGGTGTGTAAGGGTTATTTTCGGATTTCTCTTTTTGTGGTGAAAATTCTTACACTTAGAACTAGCCAGCCGGACTCAGTCTAGACGCCGCCGTGGAACGCATGCCCCCTCCGCGTGCGGCCGGACCAGGGGTGGCCTCGGCCATGTCTTCTCCGCGGTCTGGCCTGGTGCTCGGTGGCCTGGACATCCACGGCGAGCTCGGTGCACCCGTCGTCCTGTCTGCACGTGAGGCCGACACGGTGGCGGCCTGAGCCCCCGGAGCCCTCCCCAGGACCCCTGGGCCGCCCTCGGAGCTGTCGGAAGGTGGGTGCCGTGTGCAGCTTTCTCCTGTGGCTGTGGCACTGCCTCCGAGGCCCCCGCTTTGGTTTCGGCAGGGGCACCGGCTCCGTGGAGAGCACAGGTGGGTAAGTTTCCATGTCCCTGCGGAGTGGATGGTAATTCATCCATCACGCTCAGTGTGGTCCTGAGAAGCCTCTTGGGGCCACGCGGGGACTCCCTTATGTGGCCTGCTGTGTGGTCCTACGCGCGGCCCTTCAGGGAGTGGACATCCTCACATCCCGGGGATGACGTTCTGCCCTGTTAGACCACGGCCGAGAACGTGTGTTTCAGTCCTGCCCTGGCCTTGGGAGCCCTGCTGGGTCCCTTCACCTCTGGAAGTGTATCAGCCCCTTATGCGTGTGGGTGTGTCGCCCTCGTGGGCTCCGGGGGGACAGGGTGGGGGGGCTTCAGCACCACGAACTCGCCTCGTTTACCCTGACGGACGCCCCAGACTCGAACGCCCCTGGATCTGGTGCTGACGCTGCTAAACGAACAGTCCGTCACTCCCGAATGTTCCTGTGCTGCCTTGTTTTGTTTCGGTTCCGATATTTCCTTAGAACCAGAGCCCTGAAGGTGAAATTACTTGATCAGAACATATGAGCAGTTTATCGGCCAGGCTGCCTTCCAGGCGCACAGGCGGGTGGATGCCACATGGGTCCCCCGTGAGGGCCAACAAGCCGCAGGTCTGCTGCTCCTGAGGCTCGTCCCGGTCACTTAGGGGACGAGAGTGGAGAAAACTCGATGAAAGACAAACACGACTCGCTCTGGTCCGGAACAAGCCTCCGTTTACGTCTAAAACGCCTGGATCAGGACGGGCGGGTGGGCTCTGCTGTCAGGGACGCGTCCGAGCTGCGGCGGGGAGCTGCTGCTTCGAGCTCTGCCCGGGCACCGTGCCGGGCAGCCGTGCTCACGCCCGAGGGGCACCTGGAGACGGCCCCGAGCCGGCATTTCCGCCTCACGCTCCCCCTGCTTCACCCAGGGCCCCTTTTAAAATGACCGCTCAGGGTGGAGTCCGGGAAGAATCAGCGACCGCCCCCAGCCACCTCAGAGGTAAGGCGCCCGTGGCCCTGCTCTTACCTCCTGCCCACTCCTGACGGTGACCCGGGCGGCCGGCTGCCCTCCGCCCACTCACCGCGCCTCGGCCCCTCGCCTTCGCTGCCGCGGCCTGCGGCTTTCACTCCCGCGGTGGGAGCCCCTGCCGGCCCCCGTGGGCGGCTCACGCGCCTCATTCAGGCGGGAACCTGCAGCTCCAGGGCTTCCAGCGCCCCAACACGCAGGCACAGGGTCCCCCACCCACCGGCCGAGGGTGCCTGCGCTTCACCAACGCCAGCCTTGGGCTCAAGGCCCCGAGTGTTGCTGCGCTTTTCAAGACACCATCACACACGCGGCGGCTGGGGTTAGGGCACCAGCCCCTCCAACCGAACGTCCAGGAGTGACTTCCGACTCCCTAAAACCTCAGCGTCGACCTGCGGCTGACCAACCTCACGCGGGCGGTGGCACGTGCTGTGTGTTACGTACTGAACTCTTACGGTAAGGGAGGCGGGAAAAAGAAAATGTTACTAAGGAAATCGTAAGGAAGTGAAAATACTTTTACAGTATTTATTGAAAAAAGCCCGAGGACAAGCTGACCCGCGCAGGTCAAACCCATGTCGTTCGAGGGTCAACTGTGTTTCCTTGTTCGCTTATTAAAAAACACATTGCGCCCTGGCCAGGTGGCTCAGTGGGTCAGAGCACAGTCCCGATACGCCAGGGTTTCAGGTTCAATCCCCGGTCAGGGCACATACAGGAAACACCAATAAATGCAGAAATACGTGGAGCAACACATCCACGTCTGTCTCTCTCCAATCAATCAATCAATCAATCAATCATAACTAATACAGTTCACAGGCTTAGTGCAGAAAGTTCCTAAGGTCCCAGGGATCTCAGTGCCGGCCTCCACCCCTCTGCCCATCTCCAGGACCCTCGCTCACCTTCCCCCTCCTGCAGGGCCTTCTGATCCCCCACGGCCTCGGGCACCAGCTTCCCGTAGGAGTGCCTGTCACTGGAAGCAAACTTCACCGTATCAAAGTAGACGGACCCGTTGGAAACGTAGCTGGGAAGCAACACAGAAAATGGGGAAAGTGTGGCAGATCCAGCGTCAGCCCAGAGCGATCACGGACCCCGGGTGCCGGCTCCTGCCTGTGCTGGCACCGGGGCCTGTTTCTGAAATAGGAAGTTCCATGCAGTGAGCAAGTGCTGGAATGGGGCACCCGGGCGAGGCGGCGGCTGGCGAGGGCAGGGCGGCACATGGCGGAAGCCCAGCCAGGCACAGAACAAGGGAAGAAACCAGCCCTGCCTGGGGAGGCGACACACGCCCTCAAAGTGCCCACCCACGGGGCCCACGCCACAAAGACGGCAGCGGGCACAGGCACGGGCGCTGCTCCGGGCCCGACCGGCGGTTCTCACTGCAAGCTCGTCAGTGGGCTGCGGGCCAGGTGCTCTCACTCCCCCAAGGTCCCAGGGATGGGCCACGGGCCCGAGCAGGGGTGCTGGTCAGCCCCCTTGGGTGGTGGTGGTGGCCGGGGTCCTGGGCCGGGCCCCGAGCTGTACGAGGGAGCCTGCTGGGCTCAGGGCAGGCTGGGCGCAGCCAAAGCCACCCTTCTGCTTCTCCTTCCTGCCTTGAACAGGTGTCTGCACAGCTGACCGCCTGCTCGAACGGCAGACGCCACCAAGGAAACCCAGGGGCGGTCTCACCCGGCCACCCTAAAGCTGAGGACAAGCGCGTGGGGGAAAGGGGCGAGGCGAGCGGGAGAGGTGGCCCTGCGCTCACGGCATCCCCACATCCACATGGTGCAGTCCTAACCCCCAGGATCTCAGCACGTGGCTATTTAACTCTTTACAGAGGCAACCAAGGTGAAACCAGGCGTCCGGGTGGGCCCTGACCCGCCACCACTCACGTCCTCACAAGAGACTGGGACTCAAGGGGACGCGGGCACACGCGCAGAGCAGCAGTGCCCGAAGATGCCGCCGGGGCGGCGCCTGCAGGCCCGGGGGGAGCCTGGCACGGCCCCTCCCGCACAGCCCCCCAGGCACCAGCCCTGTCGACCCCGTGATCTCGCACTTCCAGCCTCCGGTGCCGGGAGCCGGCACATCTGTGTTGCTTCACGGCCTGGCCCAGGCCTCTGTGACGGCCGCCCAGGACCCCGCACACCCGGCAGCACAGCCTCAGCGGTGGGTTCTGCCCCCGGGCCCGAGCCCGGCCCCGGCCCGGATGGACAGCTGCTCTCCGGAAGCCTCCCCTGGGAGCCGCGCGGCCCGAGGAGGGCCCCACGCTCACCCATAACCGTTGTGCACGATCTTCTGGACGAAGCGCACGATCTCTGGCACGTACTCACTGACCCGGGTCAAGACGTCAGGGGGGAGAATCTGTGGGCGAGAGACAGCCTGGTCCTGCCCGCGCCCTCGGGCCAGACAGCAGGGCGGGCGCTCCAGGCACTTACGTTCAGGGCCGCCATGTCCTTGTGGAACTCCCCTTCCCAGAACTTGGGCAGCTTGGAGAAAATGGAGTTGTCGGTCACCTCGCTGCCCAGGGTGGAGTCCAGCCAGTCAGAGAGCAAGTCCTTTGCCTCTTCTAGCAGCACCTGGAGGGACAGGAGCAGTGTCCACATGTGCACATGCTTCAGAGGATCGCCTCCAGTGCGTCCACCGGCCTCCGTCAAAGACACGCCACGCACAGCCCTGACCCTGCTCGGAGCAACTACCATCTCCCAGGGCCACGCGCCCGGGTGGATGGCCTGGGACCAAGACCAACACCGGCCTGAGGATAAAGGGCCGTGGGGTCAGTCGCCGAGAGAGCTAACAGTCTTGGACATGGACACACCTACCGACAGCGCACCCGACCTCGCGAGGCAAAGACCGACAGAGTGGGAAGAGAAGGAGACGGGTCTGCGATGCCAGACAGAGATCCTGACACGCTTCCCTCGGACCCGGACAGATGGGCACAGAAACTCCGCACCATCAGTCACCCGGACTGGACGGACTCTGCAGACTTTACCCAGGAACAGGCAGAGGACACACGCTTCCCAACTCACGCAGAGTAACCGGCAAGACCAGCCACAGGCCGGGCTTCACCCAGCCCAACAGGCGCGAAAACAGAAATCACGAGCGTCTGCATCAGACCACGTGGAGTCAGACTAGAAACTGACCACGGAACGACAACTGAAAAAATCCCAGAGTTCATGGCGATTAAACAACACACTCCCAAAGAACACGCGGGCCCGAGGGTGCAAGAAAACATTGAGAACATTTTGAACTAAACGAAAGCGAAAGCGCCGCTTCCTAAGCCTCGTGGGACGCAGCAGAACCAGCCCTCAGAGGAAAGTCGCAGCAGCAAAACACCTGACACCCGTCACCTTGTACGTTCCTAGCCTGGGAAACGAGCGAAAGACGGTCCAAGTTCAATCCAAAGGAGGCAGAAGAAATAAGTGAAAACAGGAAATCGAAAGAGAAGAGTCAACAAAAACAAAAGCTGGTTCTCTAAGATCAATGAAATTGATGAGCCTCTGGCCGGGTAACTGAGAAGAGAGAGAGACGACACCAACGCTGACGTTACACCAGAAACGACGGCGGGGACACCGCTGCAGAGCCCGGGGACGCCCAGGGGACCGTGAGGCGGCATCAAGAGGTGTGACAACCGAGGCCGATGGACCACCAGCTGCCAAAACTCCCACAGACAATTCAAACAACACGAACAAGCCTCTATCTATTAAAGGAATGAAATCGATAATTAATAAACCTTCCAAAACGGACGGCACCAGGCCCGGGCTCACCGGTGAATCCTACCCCAGCTCCCTGCGGACAGAGCAGAGGGGACGCTTCCCGACTCACCGAGGCCAGCATCGCCCTCCCACCAAAGCCAAAGACGTCACAGGAAAGCGACAGCAACGCGCAGGAACATACGTGCAAAAACCCTTAATGAGACCCGCCCGGGTGGCTCAGTTGGTTGAGCACCACCCTGTGCACTGAAAGGTCGCCGGTTCGATTCCTGGTCAGGGCACACACCCAGGTTGCAAAGTTCGATCTATGGTTGGGGTGCATGCGGGAGGCAACTAACTGGTGTTTCTCCCTCACAAAAATCTAACATCAATCGATATTTCTCCCCCTCTCTCTCTTCGTATCTCTAAAATCAATTTTTTTTAAAAAAAGGAAGGAAATCCTGACACTTGCTGCATGGACAGACCTGGAGGACATTGTGCCGAGTGAATGAGCCAGACCCAGGAGGACACACACTGCGTGACCCACTCATACGAGGTCCCGAGGAGTCAGGTCCACAGAGACAGGAAGTAGGACGGTGGGGGTCGGGCTGGGGGAGGGGGCTGAGGGGTTAGTGTTTAATGGGGACAGTGTCAGTTTGGGAAGATGGGAAGCTCTGGCGATGACGGTGGTGACGGCTGTGCAACAGTGGGAATGTGCTTCGTGCCCCTGAGCTGTGCACTTAGAGAGGGTTTAATGACAAAACTATGTTCTGTATATTTTACCACAATAAAAAAAGTGATATTAGTGAAACGATTGGGAAAAAATTCACAGCGGCACTGTTGATAAGGAAACAGGAGAGGCGGAGAGAGTGGGGCCCAGGCGGCACAGCAGGACAGCCCACCACGTGTGGCCCCGTCTCACGAGCACCCGAGGGGAAGTGCTCATCCAAGACTACGGGCACCTGACCCTTTTCGTAAAGCTCGGACCGAGCACACACAAGCCACCTGGTATGTGCGGACGCAGCAGGGTGACACCGAGGGGCAAACCGCTGGGGGCTCTGCAGGTGGGCCCCGCCCTGCTCTGCAGTGAGGCCTCCGGCCTTTCCCTTGGTTTCACCCTTTCAGCGCAAGAGAGCGGCCAGCAGGGGGCGCTGGCGTAAAGGAGAACGGCCACCTTGCTGGTCTGCAGGGCGATGGCCCAGGGTGATGGCCCTCAGGGCGAGGGTGACGGTGATAACAGAGCCCCATGGGGCAGCTCAGGCGGGGAGGGGGGAGGGAGGCCCAGGGCACTGGCAGGTGCCCTCACTCTGTCTGCAGGGAGGCTTTTGAAGAGGCAGAAGAGCTGGCCCGGGGGAGGGCCCAGTTCAGCGGGGTGCCCATGGGTTCCTCAGCTCTTTGCAACTTCAATCTCTCGCTCCTGTTTCTCTAGGTGCTACTGTTAAGAAACCCCCGGGAACCCCGGCCAGTGTGGCTCAGCCGGCCTGAGCACCACGGGTCTCGAGTTCGATTCCCAGTCAAGAGCATGTATGTGGGCGGCAGGCCGATGGAGGCAACCAATGGATGTGTCTGTCACGTCGATGTTTCTCTCTCCCCCTTCCACTCGCTCTAAAAATCAGTGGGGAAAACATCCTCGGGTGAGGGGTGACAACAACGACGAAAGAAACCGGGAGAGTGCACTGGGTCATCGTGAGGTAAGTCAGAGGGAAGGCCGCTCCCCACACACTCCGAGCACGCCTCCTCTTATCTGAGGAAAGTGGGGGGCCCAGGAGGGGGCCTGGCCCCCGGCCCCGTGTGCGAGGACGCGGGACCCGGCGCGGAGGCCCGGCGGGCTTGGCCTCACCTGCGCGTG